TATAGGACACGTATGCTCGCTGGAGACATAGAAAGTGAGAAATCACCCCTCAGGAGGGATGGCCATGTCTCAATCCTTCCTCCTCTGTTCTCTTGGGATTTTGGACATGCATGTACATGTGCCCGGTGTGAGTTTTAAGCCACGAGGTCCAGGACTAGAACTGCTGACCAAATGTGAGTTCAGTGATATAACCATTAAGCTATCTGCAAGTCCCAATGGATTTATTTTTTAAAAATAATTATTATTTTAATTTTATTCATTGTCATCATTCTTCCTATTGATTGATTAATTGTTTGATTGATTGAGGCTGACTAGAGAGAGACAACAAGAGAGAAGAAAAGTGAGAAAGCAAGCTGCTAGGTCTGGGACTCTAACCATGGTCAACCACATGGGAGTCAGCTGCCCTAACTACCACACCACCTCTTGGCCCCCCAGTGGGTTTATTTTTTAATAAATTAATAAACTGTCTTTCAAATGTCTTATTTTTAATTTCAGTCCATTAAACCTTGATACATTTGAACTACATTTGGTGTCCTCAGTATTTTTAAAGGGTTAAGGGTACTTGAAACCAAAAAGATTAAGAGCCACTGTATTTTATTAGGTAGTCAGAAAAGTCACGACAGATTTTTGCATAGAAAAATACATCATGACCTTTCCAACAACCCAATATGTTCATCTTTATAAATATATATTTTACTTTTAATTAGATATCTATTTTTGTTATTATTTATTTACTGTCCATCTTGCCCATCAAATTGTAAGCACCACAGAACTGAAACTATTTATTTATTTAATTCCATTTGTTATTTTTCTTTCTTAATTTGACCAAAGAGAGACAAAGAGAGAGAGAGAAAAAGGGAAAGCAAGAAAGAAAGCTGCCAGGTTTGGGACTTGACCCGTAGTCGGCCATGTGGGAATCCAGTGCCTTTAACCACCACGCCACCTGCCAACCCCTAAGCTTTTAAAAAATGTATTTTGATTTACTCATCCATTTTCCTTGAATATCAATTCTTAAATTCTTTTCCTATCTACTCTTTGTAGGTCTAAAGAGGTAAGCTTATTTGCAAACAAGTTTGGTTATCACCTTATAAATCTTTCACACTCCCCACCAGATTACACAATTATTGTGAAAAGAAAAATCGTGGTAGGTCCTTACTAAGTCATACTAAAAATCAAAGAACCATTATAACACTTTAAGACTATTTAGTTCCCTCAGCTTATAATCATTTATGCAAATATCTTAAATTTTGTATTTCTTCAACATAAAAATATATCTATTTTTCGAATAAGAAAAATACATAAAATATTATCCATATACAACTAGTGTTATCATTCTGATATTTCTTTTCAGACTTTTGTTGTAAAAATTTATTTTACTTTCTATAGTACACTCTTTATCCCCAATTTTGCACAATTTTATACCCTGCTTTCTTTACCTGCTGTATGATAAATATTTTCCAGTTACTACAAAGGCTTCATAATCATAATTTTTTAAAGGTTTAGCTTTAGGGTGTCTGTGCTCACCAGAGTGAGACAGTGAGAAAGAAAGTAAGAAATCACTCCCCAAGTTGGATGGCTACAGTCACAGTCCCTTCTCCTCCACTCTCCTCCTGGGATTTTTGGGAATACATGCACACATACCCAGCATGATTCTATAGCTCTTGAGCTCTGAAACTCAAACCACAGTTGATCATATGCGAGTCCAGAACTCGACCACTACATCACTTGCTGGCTCAAAAAAAATGATAATCTTTAATAACTATATACTTTATAAAATGTCATATTTATTTCATCAATTCACTATTAGTAATTTGAACTCTAAAAAATACTGCTGACATGAACATCTTAACTCTTTCCATTTTGGACATCAGAATAAAGCGTCAGAACCTAAATTTCTAAACCAGCAACTATGTTTTTACGATTCTTACTCTATATTAACGAATTGCCTTCTGAAAGTTTTGACATGATACATATTGAGATTATATTTTTTAAATAATAATTTCACCATAATCTAATCAGTTTCAAGTATAGGAATTACAGTATTGTTCTTTTAATTGATCCTCAGTACTGATTTTATTTCTACTTCACTAACAGAAAAATAAAACATTAAAACACATTTTCCCTTTACTTTTAGTAATCGTATTTACTATTTTTAACTTCAGTTAATATTCCTTGTTCACTTAGCAACTGAGTTCTGAGATTTATCTTATTTTTGACAATACCAACATCTTTTTTTGCAAATATTCTCCCCTTCTAGTCACTCTTCTTCTGGATATATTATGACATAAGAGTTATCTTTCATGTAATTTAATTTCTTTCTGATCATAATATATCACTTTTTACAATCTCTCCAACATCTCATAACATCTCATTTAGATATACTGTACTCCAAATTACCTATGGCTTGAACCCCTCTCCAGTTAGCATAATACACTTACCTAACATTTATTTTAATGTATAGTGTTAGTAGAGTCGAAACTTATTTATTTTTCCAAATTGTCAGTCAGCTTTTCAACATCGATTTTGGAATAATTATTTCCCTGCTATTCATAATGCCTTTTTAAAATCTTATTAGTATGCTACCACATTTACATTCCATGCAATGACATAATATCATTAACATTTTTTAAACCTGATTCTGGTTGACACATAGAAAATGGACTAGTGTGGAAGGTAAGAATAGAAAGTGGATCGGCTGGCATTTTTCTCTATACTTCTCACAGTCCCTAAAACAATGTTCCTTCTGTATTCACAAAGGACTGTAAAGATACTCCAATCCGCAGAGAGGAACACCTTCAAGAGAATATAACTATGATTATTAATTATTTTTAAACACCAAATTCACTTATTCTGATTTATATGTTAACCATGAAAATAACCTGACTACATCATCACCCATCATCTTTCTCTTTCTACTAATCTCCTTTGTCATCATCGTTGGCTTTGTAGTACTCGACTCTCTTCCTCCTCTCCTTCTTTCTATTCTCACTTTCCTTCAATTGATTAAACACATGTTTTCCACTTCTCCAACACAGACTCTATACCCCTTTACATATTCCAAAGTCAAATATAATTCTGAGGTGCCTTTCCCTCCAGCACATGACATCACCAATAAAAATGATCCAAAATAAAGGTTTGGAGGAAAAAAACTGTTATATAACCTAATCTTTAGCATAGGTGGCTTATAGACCCACCTCAAAAGAAAAGACCTTCAAAAATCTTTAGTCTAATTTCTATTTGTTTTTATTCATGAAATTAAGACTATACACTAAAAATGAATAAAAAAAAAATTTGCTAAAGACACCTCTCAAACATCAAAAATAAGGACCAGCAGGTGCCATGGTGGTTAAGATGCTGGACTACCCCATGGCCGGTTGTGGTTCAAGTCCTGGACCTAGCAACTTACTTTCTCACTTTCCCTCCCTTCCTTTCTCTCTCTCTGGTGGGTGCATATATAGCAAATTTTAAAGTAATAAATATAAATAAATAAATAAATATTTTTAAAACTCAATCATAAATGAGGCATCAATTTAGCAATACTAGTATTAATTATTAAAAACTCGTTAAATATAATTTTCACTGAGAGTATGATACCATGTGCAAAGAAAACTACATTAAAATTAAAAGCAGTTTTGCTTTAAAAATTTGAACAAGGTTGGCCCTGTAACCTAGTGGTTAAGGGAGCCAATCCCACATGGTCAAAAAAACATGCTGGGTACATGTGTGCACGCCCAAAATCCCAACAGGATGGAGAAATGGAAGAGAAGGGATATGGTGTGGCCACCACACACACCAGGAGGTTAGCTTTCTCTCTCTCGCTCTAGTAAGTGCACATATCCTTTGGCAATTAGAAAAAGAAATTTAAAATTCTGAACAAATTGCTCAAAGGCAAAGGAGTGGGTTCTGTGTGATTTTCTTAATAAACTCCTGGCTGTTATGAGTTACTTGTTTGGAATAACTATGCGCCATCTTTACCATACCAAATACACAGATACCTAACAATAAATATGTAATAGAATGAAAATTATCAATTTACCCATTACACAGTTTGTACATCTGACAGTATAGACTAAAGCCTGATATGGTTCTTTTGCAGTGAATCAATTATTTCCTAAAAATGATGGTCAGCAAAGTAAATCAACTGGATTTTTATTTTCAGCAGAAGCTTTTTGAAAGTAAACAAGTTTTTAACTTTCAAGTAAAATAGTTTCAATAGCTTTACTGTTTTTGTTTTTATTTTTTAAAAAAGCTCATTTCAGTCCAGCCACAACAGCACAATAGTAGTGCACCACTCTGCAATGGTGGAAGCCATAGGAAGATCAGGGTTCAGTTCCCAAGGGAACTTATACACACAGGGTATACATGCATGAACCTAGTTAGCTAGGAAGGCTGGGGAGAGAATCACGTGTGAGACCCTGTTGAAGGTTTTTGTCCTCTCTCTCTCCTTCATGAAAGTAAAAATAAACTTTTAAAAACTCTAATTTCAGAGCTGTCATTGAATTATTAAGGGTTAATATATTTCAAACACCATATTAAACTCATTGTCAGATTTTAAAATATTTCAAGTACCTTATCCTGTCAACAAGATATTACCCTTTCATTAGTAACCCCAGTCTGACAAGTACAATAAAGAACTTAAATTAGAAAAACGAATAAAGTAGAACAAATGGCCTTACATTATTTTATAAAATGCTCATTTCCAGGTTTTCAAAGAAAAATTTAAAAGTTTAACCTAATACATTCTGAAATAAAATATTTTACCAGATGAAAGAAAGGTAAAACTAAATGTTTCAACAAAAAAAAAAAAAAAAGAGAATTAAAAGTTTTCTGAACTTACACAGGTATAATGAAATTTACAAAAAGTCAAATTTCTAATAAAATCGAGTGCATAATAACATTTGGAGAATGAAAAACAAGTAACTTTCTTGATAAAGCAATTATCAAATAATTCCCAAACTTCTCCAAGTTTAAACAAAACTTGATCTAACTAGATTACTTACGTAATAGATGGATCCACTTGTTTGTAAGCATGAGCAGCACAAGACCCACAATACGTATATCCCGCATGGCTAAAAAAAGAGAAACATATATATTTTTTTTAATTTAATCATCAGGTCCAAAATCAAATCATTTTGAAAAACAAAAATTTCTGAAAGAAATATATTAACTATGGTAAACATAACAAAATTTAGCGGATAGACTAAAAAGTAATATGGCTAATGATGCAACTTCCAGAATAGAGAATACATAATTATTCTATACTTTGTTCCAATTTTAAACTTTAAAAATATTTTGTTGTTTTTTTTTTTTAGTCTGAAGAACAAATCAGGAGACATGCAAGTCTTACTTGAAGTTGCTAATGTTACACTAGCAAATTACGAGTCTTTGATACTCTTTAATTGTTTTAGCAGACTATTACAGAATAATGGCAATCCCAAGACGGAGTCACATCAGACCAAAACAAATACCCTGCAAACTAACAACTCACGTCCCTTTGTGTCTTTGGAACAAGAGAAATTTTATATATTATTAAATATTTTACACATATATACACACCTACATATGTATATTGGATCATCGGGAAAGTCTTGACACATTTTTATATAGGAAATCACAGAGGGACTAGCAGATGGCGTAATGGTTACATGTCTGGATTCTCACATGGCCATCCACAATTTAAGTCTCAGATCCAGTGGCTTGAAACTTAACACCAGGCACACGTACCTGTGTGCCCAAGATCTGGGAGGAGAGTGGAGAGGGAATTGCAGAGTAGCCATCCCCCCTGAGGGGTGATTCTCACTTTCCTCTCACAGTCTATCTCTGTCTCTATCTCTCTCTGGCTAGGTATGCACCAAAGGCAAAAATATCTTTTAAAAAAAAAGAAAAAGAAATACACCATGACATTTTTTTTAAAGGTTTTTGCTGTAGGGCACATGCGCTCGCCAGAAAGAGACAGAGAGACAGAAAATGAGAAATTACCCCCCGGGGGGGGGGGGGGTGGCCACGCTGCAATCCCTTCTCCTCCATTCTCTCGGGATCTTGGGCATGCATGCACATGTGCCCAACAAGAGTTCAAGCCACCAGGTCCGGGATTCGAACCACAGTTTGGCTACATGGGAGTCGAGCGACAAAGCCATTATACCAACTGCTGGTCCCCATCATGACTTTCTTGATGACCTAATTAGTAACACTTTTCATTCTCTTCATTCTATTCTTCCCTTAAATCTTCCAGTCTTAGCGCTCCGTTGGTTCTCTCATTGTGAACAGAATGACTTTGTTTCCTGACCTCATTTTCCTTTCTTAACTCATTCTAGATACATTTCCCTTAGTGCTCACTTATTAGCATATCGCCAGTGGTGTGCTGGTAAATGTTTTAACACTGGTTCTGCAAAAAGTGTATGCACATAAATATGTACATAAGCTTATAAAATTTTAGTAAGTAAAAAGATACATATCATGCTGTATAAATAATAAAACATATAATGCTCTTTGGTGTAAATACCATACAGCAAACTGTCACTTCTAAGATAATATTTTGCTGAGCTCCTATAGTCAAGCAATGACCTCTGAGGATAAAAGAGTAGAACAATGAAGACATATGAACTTCAATCATTCATCAATGAGTAGAATAACCTCTTGATTGATTATATAACAACTTTTAAATACTGGAAAGAATATTTCCTCACTTTTTTGTGCTGTAAAGGCTATAAGTACACTATAATTTTAATCAGCATTACTAACATTTTCCTATTATTGTTTAAAATATAGGCAATCAGCAAACAGTAAGTAAAACCCTAATTTGTAGCAATTTTCTCAATTAATCTGGACTAAATCATTCCTACCATGGCCATGCATGGTAACTTGGAAAGACAAAACAGAGACTAGGAGAAAATATTTTTAAAACATGCATCTCATAAAGGGTTTACATCTTAATATATAAAGAATTCTCACAACGAGTAAGAAAACAATCTAAGTTTTATAAATAGTTAACTTTTATAAGACAAAAAGAGTTCTGACTATGGGGCCAGCAGGTTGGCATGGTGGTTAAGGCACTAGATCTCACATAGCCAACAGCACAATCAGAGTTCCAAACCCAGTGACTTAAAGAACATACAGGGTGTGGGACCAGCAGTTAGCGTAATGGCTCTGTCACTGAACTCCCATGTAACCAACTGCGATTCAAGTCCTGGACCCAATGGCTTAAACTCACACCGGGCATGTGTATGTGCGAGCCCAAGATCCCGAGAGAGGAATGGAGGAGAAGGGATTGTGGCGTGGCCATCCCCCCTGGGGGGTGTTTTCTAACTTTCTGTCTCTCTGGCAAGGGCACGCAACCTATAGCCCTCAATCAATAAAAAAAAAAAAAAAAAAAAAAAAAAAAAAAAGAACATACAGGGTGTGTATGTGTGCGCACATGCCCAACCCAAAATCCTGAAAGGAGAATGGAGGAAGAGATTATGGCTTGACAACCCTCACTGAGGGGTGACTTCTCACATTCCTTCCTTCTCAGTCTCCAGCAAGCACATGTGCCCTGAGTTCTAACTACAAATATGAACAATGTGAATATACTTAACACTAATGAAATATAATGCTAAACATGGTTAAGATGGTAAATTTTATGTTATGTATATTTTACGACAATTAAACATGTTTAAATAAAAAAAGATGTATATAGATTAACACTTCATCAAAATATACACTGGGGGAATCAGTAGATGGTGTAATGGTTACGTCACTTGACTCCCACATAGTTGACCATAGTTCGAGTTCCAGACCTGGTGGCTTAAAACTCATGCCAGAAGTGTGTGTGTGTGTGTGTGTGTGTATCCAAAATCCCGAGAAGAGAATGAAGGTGAAGGGATTATGATGTGACCATTCCCCCCCTAAGGGGGTGACTTTGCACTTTCTGTCTGTCTCTCCGGCAAGCATACACACCCTTCAGCAAAAATCTCCGCCCCCCGCAAAAAAAGTATATATAAGTATACACTAGATGACACATAAAGACATGTTCCATATCATTCCGTAATTGAGAAAGGCAAATTGAACTATAATGAGCTACCACTAACATCAACTAGAATAGCCAAAATTTAATCAGCTAACTATACTAAGAGTAACAAAGATATGCAAGAATGAAAACTCATGCGGCATTTAGAAAAATGAAAAATAGGGACTAGCAGTTGGCATAATGGCTATGTCACTGGACTCCCATGTAGTCAACTGTGGTTCGAGTCCCAGACCCAGTGGCTTAAATTAATGCCGGGCGCGTGTGCGTACTTGCCCAAGATCCCGAGAGGAGAATGGAGGATAAGGGATTGCAGCGTGGCCATTCCTCCTGGGGGGGTGATTTCTCGCTTTCTGTCTCTCTGTCTCTATCTTTCTGGTGAGCGCATGTGCCCTATAGCAAAAACCTCTCAAAAAAAAAAAAAAAGATATAACTGAAGAAAAAGAGACTCTTATAAGTCTATCACGGCAATGCGAGACAGTACTATGTTTAATTAGAAGTTGAATAATATGGGACATACAATAAGCTCACTAAAGTCACTGAAGATTTTAACTAATGATATAAATGGTAGTCACTCTATCCCTATACGTCAGACAGGGGAGTCTCAAATTGCCTCTACGAATATAGCAATATTTTCACAACCGGTTTTGATCATAGCAAAAAGGAAATGTAAGTGGTTCTGAGGCTCAGCATACTCAGTTTACTGTACTGCTCTTAATACTACAGCCTAACCGGGGTATCCATTTTAACCCATACTATCCCCAGCCTCTGAGTACCTGAGGCCCCAGCATGGACTGCTTGAGATTTCTATCACCTGTCCTTGATCTTAACAACAGGGATTCCTTGTGGGTTCAACAGTATGATAGCTTGTCTATACTTGCAGACTTTAAAAACTACCTGGTCTGTATCCCCTATTCTCCACCTTGAACCTGAATGGCATCTCAGATTTTTTATACTGCTTCGTCTCAGTTGTCACTCACATCCTTTCCCTCTAGTTCCTAATCCTTATGCCTTAACTATTAATAGCTCCTTCCATCTTAGATCTGCTTTCCAGTCTTAGTTCTTATTTGTCACCCTTGAATTTCAGGCACTGATGTCCGATGCGTACTCTGATCTCTAAATCGTCCTGACTTTCTAGTCTGAGTCTCTCTCAGTTTTATCACTCCTGCTCCTGATCAAGCTCAACTCCTACCATATGGAAAGACTTCTTAGAAACATTAGATTCTTGGGGCCGGCAGGTGGTATGGTAGTTAAGGGCACTGGACTCCCACATTGACAACCACAGTTCGAATCCCAGACCTGGTGGCTTGCTTTCTCACTTCCTCTCTGTCTGTCTCTCTCACTCTGGTCAAATTAAAAAATAAATAAATAGTGTTAAATAAAATAATTTCTTAAAAAAAAAGAAACATCAGATTCTTAAAGTATGAGGAGGACAGAAATAGTAAGAGTACAAAGAAAGGGCATAAATGCATAAACGCTATTAAAAAAAAATGACTAAGGGCTTGATGTAGATGAGAAAATACAAGATTGGCCTGAATGGAACAAACCAGTAATGCTTAGCTGGAGTGACACAGAAGAATTGGGACTTGAGTCAATAAGATCCTGAAAAAAAAAAAATGCAGTTTTTGAGCAGGGGACTGACTATAAAACTGTTACTGGTAACTCACTGGAAAGCACTAGCATAAAGGATAGATTAGAGGCAGGAGGGTGTTAAGAGAAGTGCTCTTGGAAATGTTGGCAGTGTTAGATCCAAGTATGTAGTCCTAATGTCATGGTTGAGAATGGCACCAGCACCAGTGGGAAATGAGAAATGAATGTGCTAGAGTATGAGCAAACGGTCTGCAGGTGGTGTGGAAGTTAGGGCAGCTGGATTCTACATGTGCAACAGTGCACCAGAGTCCCAGACCTGGTGGCTTGAAATTCACACTGAGTGCACGTGCATACATGTCCAAAATCCTGAGACGGGAATGGAGAAGGGATTATAGTGTGGCCATCCCCTCCCTCCCAGGGGGATGAGTTCTCACTTTTTCTCTCTGTTCCATATAGCAAATTAAAAACAAAGAAAGA